TTGGGGACGTTCGAGACGGCGGAGGACGCGGCCCGAGCTTACGATGAGGCAGCGCGGTTGATGTGTGGCGCGAAAGCGCGAACCAACTTCCAATTCAATCCCAATGATTCACAATCATCTTCCAAGCTTCTCTCCGCCGCGCTGATAGCGAAATTACACAAATGCCATTTAGCCTCCCTTCAAATAGCCAAAAAACACATCCACAAACACCCCGGATTCGACCCGAGCTACGCCCCATACGGCGGCTCTCCGACCAGCATTGTCGGGACCACCACGGACGGGTGGCCGCAAGACGAAACTTGGGTGTACTCCGACGAGGGCCAGACTGAGGCCAATAACAACATTCATCAGCAATGCCTTCAGCCTCTTGAAGATGATCATATTGAACAAATGATACAAGAGCTCCTAGACCTCGGATCTTTCGAAATTATTACATAAAATTTTACTTTAATAGTGTTGGGTAGCTCCAATTTCCCCTAGATTTTACTAATATATAAATATAAAAAATGACCCATCTCGAAATATGATGCATTTTGTCACGTTATGAAACTTTTTGTAGTAATATATGAATATGGATCATATGATATGTAAATTTAACGAGATATGTCAACTTTTTGAATGTGGGTTATTTGAAAGTTTGATAATTTATTTAGGAGTGAGAAAAGGGGAAAATTTGGGAAGAACATACATTGATTGATGATGAGTTAGTGGCTGCATTGGATCATGAGAAAGGAAAAAGAAAAGGGTAAAATGGGCATATAAAAATACAAAAAAATTACAAAAACCATTGAAAAAAGAGTAAGAGACAAAAGTTTATGAGAGAGAAAAAGAAAGAAAGAAACAAAAAGAGAGAGAGAGAGAGAGAAGGAAGCATAGTTAAAGAAAATATGGTTCTGTTGTCTCTGTTTTGAATGGCAGTTCAAGTTGTGAGAGATCTTCTGACCAAATCTAAATCCCCTTGCCACAAATTTAATTCAAGTTTTCGACACAAAAAATACTTTCTTTTTTTCTTCAAAGCAACAAATTCCGATTTACAGACATCCACTAGCGTAAGCCAGTCCACATCAATTTCGGGTGATAGAAGAAATTATGAACTCTCTCTTTTTGATTGGTTTATTTGTTTGTTCTGATAAAGTTTACAAGTGCTGCTGATCTCTCTCTCTTCATTCCTTTTGCTTTTGAATCAAGTGATCATATTAATGGAGGAATCCAAGAAATGGGAAATGGAGTGCGGCCAAATATGAACACATGGGGTTTGTCAACAGGAAACATGAAGCTTTCTTTTTAATATATAAATGCATTTTCCTCTCTCTTCAAGACATTCTTCTCTTATTTTATTTTGTTCTTCTCTCTCTCCTCTTTTTGCTTTCCACTTCTTGTAATCAACTTTACAGCTTTGCTTGTTCTTTGAGCAGCTTAATTCCCACCTTTTTGACTCTCTCCCCCACCATGCTTATCCTTCCCTATCAGACAAAGAGGGAAAAAAAAAATTCTCCAAAACGCAGTGTCAAGTTTCTATTTTTCTTCGTGTGTTAACCATGTCCCAAATCGACTAAATGAGAAAAGATGATAATATGAGATTATATATATATAGTTAGAGATACAAATATAATTCCACATCGATAAGAAGTGAGCAAAAAGAAAAAAAAAAGAGTTAAATCTAAAAATAAAATCATGATCATAATCGTTCGGGAAAATCGTGTAATGATTGAAGAAAGGGGATTGATAGATTAGATAGGGGAACAAAATCATCGAATAAAATAAAAATGTTGGTTTTGGAGGGCATATGAAAAAATATTAAATGGAAATGTACTTTGTCGGCTACTTTGGGAAGGGAAGGATATGTGTGTCTATGTAGATAATATTTATGTGTTTATCGATCAGGATTTCGTATTTTATTTATCAGCAGTAAATTTTTGAAATAGAAAAAATATATTTTTAAAAATATTTAAAATTTAGTATTTAAATATCTATTTATAGAAAATATTTGACTTCTAGAGTAGTGCAAAAAAATTTCTAAATAAATAAATTTTTGAATCGCGGTGAGGGATCGCAAAAAATTTTCCTTTATTTAGTGAGAAAAAATGATGCTTTTTTGGGAGTGCATTCCACTCACGCTTGAGAAACAAGTTCCAACAACATAGGACCCACATGTTTGTTTTTTTTTTCATGTTTTAGAGAAAACAAACAAAAAAAAAACATGTGATTTTGTCTTCAATATTTGCCTTCATCATGAATATGTCTGGATTATGTAATGTCACACATTTCCTTTCATTAATTTATATTATGCCCTAAGTTCACCCACACCCATTTCATTTTCCCTAACATAATCATTACTCTAAGATTCATTTTCCCCAATTGATTCATATTATTTTTCTATTTATTTGGGGATTTGCATGCATGCCCATGTTACTTAATATGCTCATCAATTATGGAGCTTTATAGAGAGATGTCTCATTAGTTGGAGTAATGATGATTTGCAATCATAGTGTAATTTTTGCGAGCTTATAATAAAAAGTAATTTGTCTTTTAATGTGTATATCATATAGTTTGATTCTCAATCAAAGAAGTGGCTTAATTTTAGGCGATTTTGTTGGAGTTAAATATGTTTTTAAGATTGGTATAGGCTTTAACCTACTTATGGATCAATCTTCTAAAAAGAATCATATATGGTTTTGTAATATAAGTTTATATATAAGTTTGGATTAGGATTTTGTGTTTTACAAATTATGTTTGTTTGTTTTTGTATTTTAATCTAATTTTATTAAGAACTGATCTGACCCAACTTTTAAAATTTGGCAAAGAAAACGAAAATTAATTTTTTAAATTTTTTTTTAAAATTAGCTGAGATTTTATTTTAGTGGAAAAAATGATCCGTTATCCAATGTGGTCCAAATGTTTTCCAGGTATACATGAATCTGAAAGCAAGGGGCGTTTTCATACCGTTTGGAGAAAGGAAACCACTTGAAAATATTTTGTCTCATATATATATATTTATTTTTTGTTTTAAAATCTGACTGAGAATTTTTATATATGACTTTTTAAAATTTGAAAATAGATTAGTGTATCAAAATAAATATGTTACGGGAGAAAAATTGACAGCCACGTGTCAAATAGCTAAGAGATATACCGACGTAATGGTGTCAGGTCGGCCACAAAAATGAGACGAGCGTAGATGATGAATTTGCATAGTCGATGACTGATTTACGCTGATCACCTCCTCCGACTATCGTTAACTTTGACGTTGGAGTGTTCATTTCTATTTTGTAGGTCACCAATCTAGTGGAAAGGATAAGTCACGTTTTATTTGGACAGATATATCTCTACACCAACAATTTTTTTTTCTTTCAGAAAGTATAATTCAAATTGATAGTTGATTTTATTTTTGTTGCGGCGTGTGTCACTCTCAAAATGGGTATGATGGATAATAATTGCATTATATATAGATAATGAATTAATATTGTGATGTAGAAAGAATATGTGTATATAAGTTCTTATCTCCCTTCACATGGCCTCCCATGTTATCAAAATACATAGCCACCACAAGCACATGGTTTTACCCTTCTTCCCTTTTGGATCCACATGTTCTCCATACACAAATCCTAATCAATCTCTCTCCCTTCCAAAAATATCCTTATAACTTTATTACACAAATCCCACTACCCACTCCTTCAATTCTAAAAATGAGAAATACCATTAAGATAGCAGAGGTTTTCTCGTCACGGAAAATGATTCTCAATCGTTTAAGATTTATTCTCAAGTGTCTTTAGACGAAAATAGATAAAATATCAATCATAAGATAGACTTAAATATGTGGCTATATCCTTGTTCTCCGTCTCGAACAGTGACTCCACAAATTTCCTTACCTCATTTAGGCGTCTAAGAAATTTTGTCAATTTATAGCGTGGTTTTCTTATGCCTTCTTCCTCCATTGTTTTTCTTCCACGTGGTCGTGTGAGCAACTATATGGTTCTATGCCCTAAAAGATTAATAAATAGAAAGATAATATATAGGGGCTCAAATTTATATTACCTATTTTGAACTGTCTTATCCTACCCATGATTTATTCCTAAGGACGGGCCTTAGAGTAAAATAACCGGGGTTTTTAAAGTCATGTATATTACAGGATTTAATGTACTAGCACACGTATCACACATTCACAACAAAATCAAGATTTTGAATTTGTCCATTTATGTTTTTGTTATAATTTTAAAAATAACTATTTAGTGAAAAATAAAATGGAAAAATAGATCCTACTAATTGTGTTTGGTATTTGTATGTGTAATGGATTGGGCCGACCCAACAATCTGGTGAAAGGCCATTAACTTCAGCCCTTCGTAGAATTTCGAGATCATTGTAGATTTTTTTTAATATGGGAGTTGACTTCTTAATAAAATAAATGTGCTAATTACCACTTAATTAAGCTTAGAATCACTATAACTGAGATACACTATTACAAACTAACACCTTTGGAGCCAAATCGAGCATAACTCGAGTGGTTAAGACACCTATCTCTTACCAAAAGGTCATGAATTCGTTAAGTTACCAAATGCTTATGTTTCTAAAAAATTTAAAACAAGAAATAAGAAATTAGGACGTTATCAAATGAACCTTTAGTTATAAAAAAACACATGCAAGAATTTAATAATGAAAAATAAAATTGGACCCCAACACCAATAGATTCAAGAATGATGAAACAATATTTTAATTAATGTTTTGGAACATATCCAAAATAAGAACCGCTAATTTTTGTTTCCAAAATTTATATACAATTTTGAAAATATTTCTAAAAGAATAAGAAACAAAAAACAAAATAGTTGTAGAAACGTTAATAAATAGGTCCTAAATGCCCTAAGTAGAGTTGAACTTATTTTTCAGTCCTATTACTAAGTAGCTGTCCTTGCAATTATTTTTGTAAAACTATAAATTAGGCCCCAAAAATATTGGACATAAACTAAGATTTTGGAAATATATATAGGCTTTGTCTATCAGATCATACACAAACTTCAAATAACAATTTTCTTTATAACTAAACAGCTACTAATTAAGAATGCAAGAGCCAAGAGATCTGCCTCCTCCTAATCACATATCTTCAAGAGACAGCCTCTGATCAAGATAAATCAGAGTTACATAAAAATGGAAAAACAGAAAAGAAGGGAAAAAAAACGCCAAAATCGATCTGCATTTCGACGACACGAGACAGAACATTTTTCTTTTCGACTTTGACCCGTGTAGTATGTGACTGAACCAAGCCACAGATCCAGTTTCCCCCTGTCGTCTAGCAGGTCGAAGCCACTTTCGGATGCAGTGGTTCGGTAACTCTTAGCGATCCTCCGAGCTCTACAGGTACGAGAGGGATGAGCGAATGCAGAACGTCGGTAAGTAGAGGTCGATAGCTCGGTTCTGATTGTACACATAGCACAGCTACAGCAGCAACCTGTTTGAATTTAGCAGCAGATCAGAATGGCTTGAAAAAAGGCAATCAACTGATTGAACAAGAGTAAAGCAATTAACAAACTTGGTATAAGTGCTTCAAATCCATTGTGTCCCTTATTGCGGGATCGACAATTTTCGGTAGCTTTGATCTGTCGCTAAGCTGCGGGATTGCCTGCATTCGGTTGGATGAGACAGTTTAAGACACTGATTGCAGTTTATGTGAGAGGATAATCTGGTGGAAAAAGAAAACATAAGCTACCCATGAAACTAGAGATTGGGATTGAGTAGATCCCATCTTCTCGACGGGCTTTTTACCGGTCAGAAGCTCCAAAAGAACGACTCCGAAAGCATAGACATCGCTTTTATCTGTTAGTTTACCTGAAAAATAATGGTCGTGGGCATAGTTTTTTGTATCAAAAAGTTGGCCCTTGAAAGGTATAGGAAACTTTATAGTTGTCACGGTACCAAAGTCGAAATGCTTCGACATCGAAAGATTGCATACCGTCTAAAAGGTATTCCGGGGCGACATAACCCAAAGTTCCAGAGAGCTTTATGTTTTTATTTTGAGCTCCCAAGTTTACAGTAAGTCCAAAGTCAGAGAGCTGAATCAAGCAAACTGATTGAATGAGAAACCTTTTGGAAGTTTTAACTAAGAACCAAAATTGGGAAGCTCAACTGATCATGTGAAGATCATACCTTGGCATTAAAGTCTGAATCTAGAAGGATATTCGATGACTTTAAATCCCGATGAACGACAGGACGATTTCGGTGCTCATGAAGATATTCCAATCCTCTAACAATGTAAGAAGATGGTGACACTATGTTGAATGTTGATACAGAGTAAAGACAGAGCAATCCAAGTGAATGGTGGATTTACCTTGCAACGTCGACAGCGATCTTCATTCGGAGATGCCAAGTTAAAGCCGAGCCATGAGAAGGTCCTAAGAGATGAAACAAACAATAAAAAGTTGAATCTAAGTCGAATAAGTTTCGAAATTCTCTGCCTTTGCCACTTCATATTTTCATTCTACAACTAAAAGAAAGTCCATACCGTGCAATTGAGACTCCAAAGATCCATTCTGCATCATCTCGTAAACAAGAAACCGCGTTTCGCCATGAATGCAGTACCCCAAGAGTTTGATAACATTTTGATGTCGTATTTTACACAGCCAGTTCACCTCATTCTGCCAAATTACCAATGGAGCTCTTCAAGAAGAAATTCACAAACACGAACATAAAGAGCAAGGAATTAATAAATCAAACTCAGCATATGATTCGTTAACCTCGAATTCTCTTTCGGCATCCGGTCCTTCACTGTCTATTCTCTTCACAGCTGCCAGCATTTTATCATTGAAACATGCTTTGTAGACATGCCCCATACCGCCCTCACCCAAAACATTGCCTTTGCTGAAGTTATCAGTTGCTGCTTCCAACAGTTTATAGTCGATGGTCGAAACGGAACCTTTAAAATTAGCCAACCTCAAGGAATTAAATCTGGCTATGATGGGAGTCATCGACATCCCTTTCGACACCTCTTCGAGTCGATCAAACACATATAAAAGAAGAGTACAACTGTATAAGTACACACATGATGCACATTTACACTAACTGAAAAGTACCAAAAGAGTTTAATCAGACTGAGAAGAGAATACCCAAGTTCTTTTGACATTTTTCATCATCAAGGTTCGACGATTTCCAACGATATATCCAAAAACATATGAGGAACAGCAGTACAGCTCCAAGAAGAGTGGAAGAAATAATCAATGCTATGAGAATTCTCTTGTTCAAATCTTGGTGGTGAACTACTCTAATCTCTGCAGCTCCTGTGTTTTTAACAAAATGAGCTACAAATAACAGAGAAGAAAGCCAGCCAAGGAAACACAAACAAAAACACTAAAATGGGGAAAACAAATTGGGTTTTAAAAAAAAATGCTGTTTTTTAAAGACATTTGGGACCAGCCAGAAACACAAGAAGTTAAAACCTCTTCACTCTATAGCCTCTCTATGTTTCTTGTCCAGATACAAGAACTGTCCCAAAACTTTTTTGACCTTTTCGTCTCGTGCTCTCATTTTGGAATTGAAAAGTCACAACATCCCATCTAAAGCCCCATGAGTAACACCAGTAATTTTCAACCACACCCCACAAAAGAGAGAGAGAGAGGCATTATAGTGGAGTTTCAAATTTCAAATTTCAAAGTTTCAAACTAAACCCAAGGCAAAACTAGAGCCCTGACAGAGGAAATGGAAACCCAGCTGAAGAAATCCATGAAATCAAAAGCATGCAACACAGAAACAAAGGCAAAAACAGAACAAAACAGAAGTAGAAACCTGGGGATTGAGCTTCCATTTTGGTCACAATGCGAGAAATGGGTTCTTCTCTCCCAGAAGCAGAAATGTAGAACCCAGCAATTTCTGGTCTGGCATCAATTATTGGGAACAAAGAATAGAAAACCCACATGGGTAGTAAAATACCAAGAAGATTCATTCCCCCACCTCCAAATCTCTCTCTACACTCTGATTTTCCAAGCTCCTCTCCTCCGTTCTTCAGCCTCTGCCCACAGAACAGACAAACCACTGCTTCAGGGAAACCAAGAAAGCACTTTATTCTTTATTTTTTAGGCTCAAAACTTTCTGGCAGTTATCAAAAGGGTAATTTTTTTTTTTGAAATGGCCATTGTGGGGGGCCCCTGAAAATGTGGGGTTTGTGGAGAGTGGACAAGTTGAAAATTAGACTGCATTAGATTGGTTCATTTCTCTTCTTTTTACTGCTCTATGGACCACCCATGATTTTGAAAAAAAAAATTAATAACATACATTAAATTAAATTTTTTTTTTATTTGTTGAATCTGTCTTCTTTGGTCTTTATTGATTTGTTATCCCCATTTTCTAACATGGAAAGTTGGATTTCGTTTTTATTCAAATTTTGAATTCGTATTAGCTCTCTTCATTGTGTTTGAGAAATCAACACTTAATGCTTAAAAAAGAGGATAAAGTTAAAAGCTTTTTCTTTTCCCATTTAATCACCATCAGTATCTTAAGACTTTACTGGTTCATTTTTTTATTACCAAAATTTGAAAGTTTTTGAACAAATGGTGTATTGGTGTATCTATGATTTAAGAAAACAACGATACCTAATCAAGACCATTGTCATGACCTATATATCTTACATGTACCTTTGCAGTGGCATCAACCTCGATCAAACATTAAACTATACTTCAAAGACATAGTCGAGAACGTTTAGTGTGCTTCTTGACCGTACCGACTCTCAAAGAAATGTACCCACGAGAACTTGTCAAGCATTTGACAAACTCACACCAGGACGATGATGGATGAGAACATACCTAAACAATACTTTACTTTACTGTTGTTCGGGACTTAAAAAACTTATTTATTCAAAAGTAGTAATTATATTTCAACTTTTATTGGGGCAAAAAATAATTAAGTGGAACCTACAATGGCATTAATGTCTGTTGATGAGAAATGAGATAATATGTTGCTTTTACTTGTGACATCTCACAATTCTCATGTGATCACTGTCTACTAATTTCACAACCCATGGCCCAAAATAATACCTTCAAAAAGGCAATTTTGGAGGCTCAAAAATAAATTTGCTTTTTCCCTCCTTTTTCTTTTTGATTTACAAGTATATCTAAAGTGATTGCTACTATAACTAAGAAAGTGAAATTTTATTAATAACTACTATATTAAAAAAAATTTAAATTTTATTTTAATACTCAAACCTTTAAATTTATCTCTGGTTAATCTCTAAACTTTTAAAATAATAATAATTTTGATTGTTGTTGTCGTTAATTATTGGTTTAACCAATGGATAACATTAATTCAAATATATGTATTAACATGAGAATCTACTAAAGTTACTAAAATTTACCATATTCCTTGCAAAAGAGTTTAATTTTCAAAACTATTAGTCAAGCGTGAGCGTCCAACCTATGAAATTTGAAAGGATTGAGGACGAGAATAAAATAAAGAGGGTCACTTCTTTTAAGAACGTGACTCATTCATTAACTTATTCATAAACTCGAGATTTTGTCCAAAATGACTAATCGGTCCGTCGAAAGATGCTTAGCTAAAGCAATGAAGGAGGAAGTTGTCATAAAATTTAGGTGTCGGGTGGCAATAAAATAACCATTACTAAATTAGTTACTAAAAGAATTAAAGACTAAAATAGATTTTTTTAAAAGTTTAGAAGATTAAAATAATTATTTTGAAAGTTTATCAAAATAAAACAATAGAGAGGTCTATTATTATTAGTTTGGTGGATTATAGAGATTGAATTTTTAAAAATATGAATGGGAAATAATTAGCTGGTGTGGGTAATGAAAAAAAAACAAATTAAATAATAAAAGTTGCTTGAATTGAGTGCAATTTACGTTAATAATTAGAAGAAAAAAAATAAAAAAATAAAAAAATAAAACCCAACAAGACAAGAATCTCAAACTTCCTTCACTGACAGATACGCAGTGGGCTACCTGCTCCCACTCAAGCTCTTTTTTGTCTCTTATTATTATTATTTTTTATTTTTTAAATTTCGTTTATTCATTACATTTTATTTATATTTTCTAATTTTAATTTTAATTTTAATTTTTTTTTATAATTAGAAAACATCCATGTGCTTATTATAAATGTGGGAATCTCATTTCATTGCATCATACCCAAATTAGGCTAAACCAACAAACATTTACAACTTTTTTTCCCCTCCATGTTTTGCCCTAACACTATTTCTTTGTGTCTAGGACCCTTGTTTAGGGATGTTTTTAGTAGAATAGACAAAAAGTTTGCAAACGTTTAAAAATTCCAAGCACACTGATTATATAATTCAACGTGCTTTGTTCGCGGGTGAATATAGGACTATAAGTAATATGTATTGTCGTTTGAAGATTATCATAAGTACAAAGCTGGAAGGAAGGAGTACAATGAACGTGTAAGTCTTGTGATATAATAATTCAACCGGATAAATTCACTTATAGTAAAAATAATCTCATATATTTAGTAGGAGTCGAAGAGATTAATTAGTTCTATTGTTGTAATAGGAAATAGAAATAATATAATAAATTTAAATTAGTTATATTTCAAATGGTAATAAATTATTTAACTCACTAATGACTTTCAAAGGGTTATTTAATTAATGGATGGGCAACTTTTATCTTTTGTTGTGTCATAATTAAATTTATAATTCAATTGATAAGATATATGTGCAATTATTAAACATCTTGGAAAAATGAATTAGGATGAGTGTACATTAACTCACTATTATAAATCATTTTAATTGATTAGACATTCAAATTTTCATTATTGTCGTGCATGTATAATCATTTTTTCTCTATTCAACCATTTAAGGTTGAAATTAAACATTCAATCTAATTAATAGGTGTCTTACTGAGTTATGTTCAAGTTGATAATTCATTCCACAAAAATTATCTTATCTTCAAAATATTAAAATTTCATACTATAGTTTTAATAGAGAAATCATTAACCGAAACTTGGAGATATTCTTTAAAAAAAAAAATCATTCAAGTGAAGAATCCAATAAGTGGGTTAGTACAATTTCACATAAATATAATTTCAAATGTATTGATATGAAATATACTTGTTCTTAAAGAAACTAATATGATTGTTTTTGTTAGAATTGGACAACCAAATATTACTTCATCAGAATGTTATACATCAAAACAAGTATATTTTACATTAATACATTTAAAGTTTAGTTTTAAGTAGAAAATATGACTTTATATATATATTTATAGTTTGATATTAGTTTGTTTGACTTTTTTTCAAAAAAAGAAAAAAAAGAAAAAAAATGAAGGTCTATATTTAAACAAAATGGGAGGTTTAGTTTTTCAAAATAAAATTTAGGGTCTACTTTTCAAAATAAAATCTAAGGTCTATTTTTCTTCATAAATTTTAAGATCTATTTTTCAAAAAATTTTATAATTTACTACCCTATTCTCTCTCTCCACCTTATATTTCTCTTCTTTCAACTTTTTTTTTCTTTTAATATCTAACCTACCGCCAAAGCGAGCAGTTCAGCGATAATTGGCATAAACCTCCAACCATGAGGTGGTGAGTTCGATCCCTCACCCCCACATGTTGTACTAAAATATATATATATAACCTACCTCTTTAATCAAATGAGGCTTGACGAAATTATTGGAGGACTAAATTGGACTGAAGGTAAAGAAGGCCCAAATATACGAAGCAGAGGTCAGGTGGTCTAGATCGACTAGGGCTAACCCGACCTCGTCACGCCAACCCCAACAAGGCCTCTCCAATTGTTCTGCGTAGCCCAGTCCAAACCTATCATGTCTTGGTGAAGTCCCAAACAGACCAACAACTCCAGGATCGGATCGATGGCCCACTACAAAATACATAGGTCCAGAAGGCATGATTTCTATAGGTATAAGATTTATGCAAAAAGAACCCTACTTTCATATTCCACTATACCGATAGTAATTTAAGCATCGGAGTCTGTGTGGCTCCATACTGGTATTCATTGCTATTGGTTTTGCAGGATCTACACGGTTCCCATTTCTTCGTTTGGTACTGGCAAAATTGGAAGAAGACTAAATTCGACATCAACCATCATCACACATTATCTTTTCAAATTTTGGTCTTTATTAAAAAAAAAAAGTAGAAATAAAGAATCAACATGTTTCGATTTTATATTTTTCAAAAACTAAAAAAATAAAATTAATCATGAAATACTTTTTGGTTATAGAAACAAACAAATTAAAAATAATTATTTTTGACAATTTTTAAGATTTGAAATGTGTCTTTTTTATTCTAACTAACTTTAAAAAATATATAAAATAATGCTTCATTATATTTTCCAATAAAAAAATTGAAGGTCTATATTTGTTTTTAAAAATTAGAGGTCTATTTTCCAAAATAAGATTTAAGGCCTATTTTTCAAAACAAAATTTGAGGTCTATTATCTTTTATAAAAAAAAGATCCATTTTCCAAAATTTTACAATTCACAAGTAATCCTCTTCTTTTTTCCAACTCATCTCTCTTTGTAACTTTCTTTTTTGTCTCTCATAAATGTTTATTATATTTTAACTATGAAATTTATTTGTGTTTAGGATCATAATAGGAATTTTATCCACTAAACTATATTCAGATTTTAAAATTATATTTCTATTATCAACTTGGAAATATCTCTGAATCAAATTAGGAGTTCAAATTGAAACTCACAAATCTTTCTTTCCGACACTGGTGCGCATTTGAGTCTGCTAAGTGCTTTTGCGATAAGGGTGGATGCATGGAATTTTATGCCATGTATGCTCGTTGTTTGCTTGTTTACTATCATTCATATATGGTCTAATGATCATATGTAAAAAATATTCATTCATTACGAAAGTTCCCTATCTTAGAAATGATAGTCCTTGTCAAACTCTGTCATACAAGATCTAGTCGAGTTCTTGCTATATACACCAAGCCATGGGGTCACTAGCCATACCAAGCCACATGGTGATAGGTTTTATTTTTTCGATATAATATTCTTTTAGAAAAGTTAAAACACAAATATAATATAATTACTTTCATCATCGATCCGAAACAAAATACAATTCAAAGACATCCTAACAAAAAATCCAATGATAGATATTTTTACCTACATATAAGAAAGCTAAAAAAGTACCTCTTTATTTCAAAACAAACACAACAAAAATAAAAATTAGAACAATTAGAGCCCTTGCCATACGCCACTTTGTCTTCTACAAACTACCATTGCCGTTCATGTCATTTTTGTAGTTTTAGCATATTCAAATTTACTTAGAAAATTTAGAGATGTGTTTGACAATATCTTACATGGTTTCACTAGATTAATCACATGTAGTCTGAATAGAAGAACTAATCTGTTGCGACCAACCTGTTTTGGTTGGAAATTTGCAACGATCACCATCATTGGCCTGACTGTATTTAGTCTATGTGGTCTTACACACATATGGTGCCACGTGTTAGACTAGATATTGACCATAACGAAGGGGAAAAAAGTTTTTTTTTTTAACGCTATAAAATTATGTAAAAACTCTCAAAATAAATACAAGAGAGTTGAACAAAATAGTTATTTCTAGAAGCAGGATGATTATTGTAATATTTGATCTATAAGAAAGGATACTAGTGACTTCATAATTAAGTTGAGTTATTAGCATAAAAAATTTACTTATACTAGAAAGTAGAAAATAGGTCATAAAACTAGTATGAAAAAAGTCATTAACTCCCATGTTGAAGAGAGATTAATTTGCCAAATGCCAATCCACTGGTTTAATTGCTTCTGATTTTGGTTAAACATGTTTACCCAATATGAAATAAACAAAAATATTATGTGAAAATTACAACACCCAAAAAGGGAAATTATTATTTTTAATCTGTAATGGGTATTAGCTTAATTAATTATAATTTGAGATTTCATAAACTTATTTTGATTGATCAATCTTAAAAGTTTCATCAAGAGAATTCCTCCAATTTGTCTGCAACACCTCATTATGCTCTCTCCTCCATTTCATTGGCTAGAGAGAGATGTCACTAAAATCACTTTTTTTGGAAATTTAACATAACCAAATTCTGATGGCCCACAAAAATTTTAAATTTCGACTCTTCCGAGTTTGAAGCTTCTTTTTTTTTCTGTGTAAATTATGCAGAGATTGCTCAAATGATCAAAGGATTTTTTTTTTTTCCAGAAGTAATGAAGATCAAATGAACACCTTTGAAATGAAATTACAGTTCTATAATTAATGATTGAAGAGGAACATTGAAATTTGTTTGCATTATCCAATAATTACAATGACTATCTGCAATCTCTTGAGTCTGAGATGTGGGAGAGGCTTGGCTCCAAAGAATATAAGCAAATGCAGATGGCTGTGAATGAATAATATAACAAAAAAGGTAACGGGATTTCGGTCTCTACACGGTTCTATCCTCGACATTTTTGGGTTACTACGGAAGGGAAAGTAAAGGAAAGATGTATGAATATGCATCTGAGAAAATTGGTTTTTGTAATTACAGTTACAGTAACTCAAGCCTATGACAGGGTTAGGATTTAGGAACTACATCTTATTAAGAAGCAAATGCTGTTGTTGTTGTTGATCTTCGTGTTCCTCTCAGTTATGGAAGCCGAATGTCGGTTGGTTTCGGTTTGAATTCGCCTTAGTTCATTCGGTATAAGACCTCGGGGCCAGAATCCTCTTGAAAAGGCAAATTAAGATCGGGTAATAAACGAACAGTCCCAAGAGTTCCCATCTCCTGTAGTTTGCAAGAAACGTTTTGCAGAGTTAATTGGTAGGAAGCATTGACATCATTGCAACCAAAACCAGCAACTCCAATGGTCGTAGTGTCGCATATAGATCTTGATGGTATCGAAGGTTGAGGTTGGTCGGAGTTCACCTCCTTCGAAGTGGCAGGCGATACAGCCGTTTCAGTCACTTGCTGTGATTGGAAATCAAGCTGTAGAATTTCAGAAACAACAATTTAGCTTGTGTCACACATAAAGATCACTAGGTAAAATCTATCATGTTCTTCAGGAAATGACAGTGTTTATATAAAGGCTTCCAATGTCAAAGTCAAACGATATCATGCATTTTCCGCTCTCGAACAAACGACATTGCATCGAACAAGAAAAAATGTGATGGATTGTGAATATGAAAGGGCAACAGTCAAAATCCAACAAGTATAAGTGAAAATAGCAATACACAAATAGTTCAACTTTGGTTAACTGTTCTTTAAAAAGTTACTCTTTTAGTTGTTAAAAGTCACATGTTTCCAAAAGCAACGAAAGTGATCATGGACTTGTAAGTAGTGATTTTATTCAAACAATAATCTTAACCTTTATAAGCTGTCCAATTAGAGCCATATCAGTGAAAAATCCGTTTAGAAAAGTCTATTAAAGAAGCTATTAGATTATCTACTTCAGCTTGTCTCCCAATCAAATGAAATTGCACCTCTCATTCCAATAATACGAGGCAGAAGTAAATGCATGTATCCTGAACGGATTCTATAAGAGAAAAAAGTTGATGCCCGAGTTAAAAACACGCATTCAAGCAATAAGATACAAGGGAAATATGAAAGCGTGGAGGGTTCACCTTCATTTTCTTCAAGCTTCCATTTATAGCCCTCTGTTTTTCCACAGAGAGCCGCAAGTTAGCCAAGGCCTGCACTTATAAAAGGAAAAACTTAGCAAGAAGGGCAGAGGATAGAAAACAACAATTTTCATATTCTTACAAAAAACATACATCTTTCAAGTTCCTCCTTTCCTTTAATAGCAAAATCTCCTCCTCTTTAAGTTCTCCCAGTGTCTGCCATCAACCATGAACACAATCAGCATTATCCAAAACACACTCAAAAGCTAATATGGGAGTGGCCCATGATGCACCCCCAAAAGGGAAATGAATCTAGAATATATAATATATTAACCAAAAAGGGCAGGAAGAAAAAGTTAAAGCAAATGGTGAAAAACAAAAGCAAGAAGAAAAAAAGAGGAATGGGAATGGGAATTTCTTTGGCTGATAAAAACCATACCTTTTTCTTTCTTGGCCTCTTCATTGTTGCTACAACTTCACTCTTACCAGCAATCTACACACACACACCAAAAGTCATGACTCAGACTCTCAGTCAACTTAAAATACAGAGTTTATGAATCATATCCACTAACAATACACAACCAAAACAAGATAAAAAGCATTAAGTTAGAGATGCCCCATTTCACAAGTTGGAATTTTTTTTTTCCCATTTGTGGGCCCCTCAAGAAAATTGATGGTGTTTGAAGATAATAAATCTATTAAACAAGAAGGATTAGTTCCCTAATGATTAAACACAAAAGATTGGGCCATTGGGGTGTTCTCTAAACTTTTGCGCCATGGCCGAAGAATTTAGAATGGGATTTCCGGACACAAAAATTGATGTTGGAAGAAAAGGGGAAAGTATAGGATCACAGGCTGTCATGGAAGAGAACTAAAAGCCCAATTAAATACTACACATCTTTTGACTGTCCCAACGAATCTAATTTCTCTTTAATATAATTATAAAAATAAATAAACAAAACTTTTGTCAGTTTTGGGGGGAAAAAAAGGGAAGGGTCGAGATGAAGCAAAATCTCCAAAACTGCGAACATCTGTCGTTTTAAAAGTGCGTCCATAGGAAAAGCCAAGGTGCGGCCGACCACACTGGAACCCAACTTTCCTTTTTCTTTTTTCTTTTTTTTTTGTTTTTAATTTTTTAAGTTAGAC